TATTTTTCAAGAGGAGATAGAGGCTTTTTACTTATGTTTCTGCTTCTGTATAACCAACTAACACTGCCTTATAATTAAATGATTCGAAACAAGACCTCCCACCATCGCCCTCCAATCGGTCTATGTTTATTAAGCTAGCGTCACCAAAAATTAGAGATCATATCAAAGCAAAAATAAGGAATGGCAAAAAGTGAAAACTATTTTCACTTTTTAAAAAATGCAAATAATTTTAGTTGGTCCCGACTTCTCTTTCTTCTCTAACCCTGGCTTGAAGGAATCTTGTCATAAATAAGTCGGTTGCTGCTTTTGTGTTGAGGTGAAATACACCAGTTGAGAAGTGCTACCGTCCACCGTGACTTAGTTTTCAGATCTGCAGACTTTTCTATCAGAGCTTTGAGCTGAAATACAGATATATCAACTCTGAGAAATAAATGAAAACTGTCATCGGTGTCAGCAGCAGAAACTGGGGGTCCATCCCACACAAATTATGGACATCTGTATTCCTAATTGGCATTCTTTAGGGCCATGCCAGCAGACTGGCAGTGCCAAGAGTGCCTGACAGCCTTAGAAAAAGCAAGGTATCGGGTCTAGGTGACAGGAGACATTGATGAGGCATATGGGATACTCTCCAGATGTGTGTTATCATGCTGGCAATTTTTAGTCTCGGGCACTGCCGAATGGCACCTTTTATCCTTACTAAATGGGCTGCTTTTAGAGCAGATCAGTGTGTGATGTTAGGAAAACAAGTGGTATTGATGGTTAGATGATCAGAAGACCGTGGGCAAAGATGCATACAAATAGTTAACAAGGTAATGGTAAGAAATGTTGACCTTGATTTGTTTAGCTAAGATGTAAAGATTTTTGAAGGTCAAAGGTGTCCTTGTGTAGTGTTTTGGAGTCTAACTGTGCCTGACCCTCTAACATTAAGCTGCTGTGGCCTGCAGTTTTGAAGAGCAAACCAAACCAGGGAGAGAGCGAGAAGGGGGAGAGAACAGGAAATGGAGTGAGGTGTTTCAGGAAGTTGTCAGGGGTTGACTGATTGATTCCAGATGGGAAGGGTCAGCCTTCGTGACCCAGGAAATACTCACTAGGGGAAAGAAGTTGGCTTGTGGAAGGGGAAGGCCTGGGAGTGAGATGATGTTGGAATGCACATTCCACTTTCTTTAGTCCTAAAACATTCAGAAATTTTAACTTCCCCGAATAGAAGGATATCAGTGTTGTCATCATTTATCAGAAAATGGTGAAGGAAGTTAAATTTGAAACTTTGACTGTACCCAATGTCTCTTCACTGCGTGGCGTTCCTTTCTCTAAAAGTAGAAAGAAGGTATGTAAAAGTCAGTATCTGAATGCGCGTCTCTGTGCATAGGAACAACGACCAAACACATCTGATGTCGTGTTGCAGAGTTTGTGAATTAAGCCCATTATGTCTTGCAAATTCAGTCGAATTGGCAGGTTCTTCCAGCTACCTCGCTGTCTCAGGTATTTGGAGTATTAAAAGCTGGAACTTGCCTCATATCTACATGTACACAAGCACACGCACATACATTTGGACGTAATTTAAAATCTTGTAATAAATTTTGCAGACACTGAAATAATTCAGGTTAATTCCCTTGCTGTCATGAGAGGCCAGTGCGAGCCAGCGAGAGATTAAAATTTATTTCCATTGTTAATAGAAAATAATGAAGTGCATCTGAACCATCAGGGTATGTCATTCGGGAAATGTTCACTTTGGAACTAAGTCTCACTCCACCCAAATGGACAATGATGAAGTCAGCTGGCTCGCAAAAGCCCCATCTTTTGTGGCAGGAATGCATGAGTAGTATTAATGGACAGCATGACAAGAAGCTTGTGGAATGAATTAAAGCAGCCTCAGAGAGAAGGTTCTTTACATCCATGTGAGTCCGCAGACAGGGCTCAGATCGCTCACTAACAGAGCCCAAAGCACCATCTTTTTGTTGTGTTTCGTTTTGTTTTTCCAGAGGTGACAGTTATGTTTTTGAAAGTACACGCACACATATAGTTTGTAAAAGGGGGTTAAGCCTTTCTTCTCTCCCTTCTTTTATTATTTTTGGAGGGTAAGAGTGTGCAGCCTTTACATTTTGACTTAACTGTGTGGCTATGAGGCTCCATCTTTCCCTTCAACTGTGATGTGATCTTGTGCTTTGCTGGGATCGCCCTGATAAGTGCATGAGCCTCCATACACTTGCGGAGGGTGATGGATGCCTCTGTCTTATGGTTGCTGCCATGTGATAGGAACTTTCTGGAAGGACATTTCCTAGAGTCTAACATGTTAACATGGACACAATTGAAAACAGACTCAGAGCTAGATAGGTTGCACCCCTGGATTGTGAGCAATTATACTGATATTTTCTGGATGACATCTGAGTTTCCTTTAAGTGCATTGTTTGAAACCCCAGGACCTGTCATTATACCTGACACTTGGGAGAAGCTCAGTGAATTATCTGTAGGATTGGAGGATTAAAACTTACAACGTCCATGTAAAATTTCACGTATGCTCCCACTTCATCTGTGGCGTGAGACTCGACTTATGGGCTTTAGGGATTTTCTGAAACCTATTACATTGAAAAAACATGCAGAAAAAATTTTAAAGATGCCACTTAAAAACTGTCTTTAGTGTAAAACGAAATCGGGAGTGTGGTCTTGGTGATAGTGGGCGTAGGAACGTCTAGAAAGGAACACAAGATAACTTCCTAGAAAGATGGAAATCCTCTCTAACCTGATCATGGTGCAAGTTATACAGCTAGGAGGTGTGCATTTCAATGTATGCAAATTTTACCTACAAAAAAACCCCAAGTCCGTGATCATTGTCATTATCAAGGAAGGGATGGAGTGTGGTTCAGTATAGTTGTGGTTTCACTTTTCAAGGTCTCAGTTACCCATAGTGCAGTACAATAAGGTATTTTGAGAGACAGAGAAAGAGAGACCATATTCACCTACCTTTGTAACGATATAGTGATGCCATTATTCTATTTTATTAATAGATACTATTGTGAATCTCTTACTGTGCCTAATTTATAAGTTAAGCTATATTGTGAGCATTTATAGACAGGAAAAAGCATAGTGTATGTGGGGTTCAGTACTATCCACAGTTTTAGGCATCCACTGGGAGTCTCGGAACTTATCCCTTGAAGATAAGGGGAGACAACTGTAGATGAAATTAGATTGGCAGTATTTTGACAATTTGAAGCTGGAGGACAAGTACTGGGGATATGTTTTGCTATTCTGTTTGTTTGCTTGAAGTTATTTATAATAAAAAGTTTTTAAAATACTAATATAACTCTATCACATTAAGAGGTAAGACAGGGTCAATGTTACCACCTCCCCAACTTTGTCTAGGAAGTAAAGAAAAATGGCCGGACAATTGTGAATAGAATATCAACCAATTTAGTTTGTGGGTAGGCAAGAAGCATCATTTTTAAACACAACTCATCATTATGTATCAATTCAGTGTTCTCCCTCAACAGGTCTGTACACATGTCTGAATATGTCCGTAACTCCTTCCAAAAGAAATAATTGCCATGCACAACTGAGACGAGCTGAGAGGTACACTCACAATCAGGATGGCTCATCTTCCTGGGACCTATAAGTTGGTGGTAGATTTGCCCAGGTCCACTTTCTTCTGCCAGGCTTGGCTGGCCTTTGCTGATCTCCATGCCCCTGATCTACAGCAGACATGGTGGAACTCAATCCAGTACTGTTCTGTGTGCTGCTTGTTTCACGTGTTTACTGTGCTTCTCTAGCCTGAAAGTAAGCTCTCTGTGGGTAGGAGCCAGGCCTTGTAACTGTTGGTAACTACCCTCATGTCCCCCTTTCGAGAACCTTCTCCAGAGCTTAGACCATGGGAGAATCGTGATGAGTAATGTCATCTGTCTTCACAAGGTAGATGAGGCAATTAGGATGTGGACTCGTCCCAATTTGGCATGCACCAAGTGCTGTGCTAGGTGCTTTACATTTTCCAGGTGGAGTATTTCTTATTCGAAATGCTTGGGACCAGAAGTGTTTTTGAATTTTGGACTTTTTTGGACTTTGGAATATTTGCATTGCATACTTATCAGTCGAACACCCTTAAGCCCCAAATCCAAAGTGCTGCAACGAGCATTTCCTTTGAGAGTCGTGGGCATTCAGAAAGTTTTGGGTTTTAGAGCATTGCAGATTTTTGGATTGGGAATGCTCAACCCGTATCTCTTTTTATTTGAACTATATCTCATTCAGCTCTGTGAGATGAGCATGGTTTTTTATGTTTTACAGTTAAGAAAAAAACAGAGATTGGAAAGGTTAAGTAATCAGTCTATAGTTACAACTTAAGGAACAGCAGACCTGAGATTTGAATTCAGTTCTCTTGGACTCCAAGTCCAGGTTCTTCCAACGCCCCATGCCACCTATTCCCTCTTCTCTGGTTGGACACTACACATCCTATGTTTTCAACACTGAATTCCAGCAACCTTGTCTTCTCTGACACTGCAATCTAGTGGGCTAGTGAGTAGAGACACCACAGACAATTCACCAGCCAGCATCTCCACGTCCAGCATGATGTTAGGACATGTCTGAAGCGTAAAAAACCATTCCCTAGCTTGGAGAAGTGACCTTCCAGCTGGTATTTAGATCTTAACTTCTAGATGACACACAATCAGCTTCCTGCGGTGGAGGTTCTGCTGGGAATAATTGTCCAAGTCTTTTGAAAGAGAACTAGGTTTCTGGAACCAGCAGGCAGATGCCAGTTTCCCCACTTTGTTACGTGGGCATAGTTTGGACACAAGAGCATGACAATGCCTGGGTGAAGGGCCTCCCCTTTTTCTGTAAATTCTACCATAACTACAGGAGGAGGAAAACCTGTGGAGGTGTCGAGAACATAACCCATCCTAAGTTCTGTCCTGTGTCTCATTTGCCATATGGAATTGTGGCAAAACAGAATTTTGGTGTATTTGCTACCTCCTATGAAACTAATGCTGCTACCCCCTCTTTTTACTTTAAATATGCAGGTTGTGTTGTCAACAACGGTGAACGTGGATGGACACGTCCTGGCTGTTTCTGACAACATGTTTGTTCATAACAACTCTAAGCATGGACGGAGAGCGCGAAGACTCGACCCATCGGAAGGTAGGGCTGTCTGCGTTGAGCGTGGTGGATGCATGGAGTTCTCCAAGCGTTTCCTTGTTTGAAATGCGCATGTATGCCTCAGAGTCAGAGCAGATAAAGGACACAACATCATGTGAGTTTTTAAGTGAAGTTGTAAACACAGACTCCAGCCTGCCCTGCTGTAAGCCCACACGTCTCCCAGCCAGTGCTAAGTCCTAGGGCCGTCCAGTCTCCCATGCAGTTCTGTGTTTTTCTTTTTGCAGGACGAGTATTTCAGGCAAATGTAGGCCTATGACATCTTAGTTAAACAGGAACATTACAGTGCCAGACATGTATGAATAAGTGTCAGATGTGCCCTTAAACAGATTGTGGGCAAAACAAAACAATGTGCAGAATGAAACTGACACTAATTGATTTTTGTTTGCTTGGACAAGAAGAAATCATGGTCTGCTCTGGATAGTTTTCCAAGTGCATTAAAGTAATTAGAAATCCCGGTAACTGTTCAACTTCAAGTTGTCCAAAAAATTAAAGTATGTCGATGAAGATAACTGACAAACCTAAGTAAGTTCCATTTTAGTTATTCCTCTTCCTTCCGCACTGCCCGATTCACTGGTGTAGGAAGACCTTATAATATAGAATGAATGGTCAAATTAGGCTACTATTTTAGTGTGATGTTTTGCTATATACTACCCACCCCACCCCCACCCCAACTCAGACCTGAAAATGTATCTTGTATCATTTTAAATAGGAATTAATGAACTGAAAGAAAATGATTGAATCAGTAAAGAATTTGGAGTGGTGTTAATTCTCCCACAGTGGGCACTGAAAGGGGAGAAGAAAATCCCAGAGTTCAGAACTAGGAACCCATCCAGTTTCTTTTGACTGATTGGATGTGATTGACTGGCTGTTCAAAGGGGGCTCATGTTTTTGGAGTCCTGCCAAAGTTCTCCTCCACCTTTGACCCTGTCAACTTTGGAAATGGAGTGATGGATTGACTTTAGTTATGGCCTGAAAACCATATTGGGTTCCTGTTGGGATGGAAAGTCCAGAGGCCTGGAACATATGGAAGAAGAGGGAAAAAATCCTTCCTACAGAGTTTGGAAAGTGATTAGAAATTGTCTCTTGATAGAACTGAAAATAAAAAGTTCTTCAGTTACGATAGATTTTGCTTTCTCCTTCTCTCCCTCTAGCACATTAACGGGCCTTGTAAATCTTGACATCTTGGGGCAGAGGAGGTGGGGAGAGAAAAGGGATTTACACATTTCCAGTGTGATCAACTTATAAAAATATAAGCAAAAACAACAGAGTTTTAAAAACACCCTTTGCACAATTAGCTAAGTGTTTCACTTTTGTGTACATCACGGCCAACTCATTAGGCTTTAATGACTTGGTGAAAACCCACAACCAATTAGGGTATGATGGCGAGTCAAAACTTAGACTTCTTGAAATGACCCACAGCTTTAGAGAGCAGTCCATCCCCCAAACTCCTCACTGCAGCCATCTAAGGACAGACCTGACTTTATTTCCCATCTTCCCAGCGACCCCCTGCATCAAAGCCATTAGCCCGAGCGAAGGCTGGACCACAGGAGGTGCCATGGTCATCATCATTGGCGACAACTTCTTTGATGGTCTCCAAGTGGTGTTTGGGACCATGCTTGTATGGAGCGAGGTAGGCGATTTGCTTCCCTGGTTTCCTTTGGCCCAACTATCGCTCTGACCTGAGGAAACTAGTCATTCCTGGACCACACTTGATCGAGTACCTACCATGAGCCAAGGATCAAAGGACACGGAAGTCATACAAATTGTGGGAATGAAACCTTTAAAAAAGATCAATTTGCGTTATTACTTAAAATCACGAAACATTATAAATGGTCTAGATATTAAATAATAGGAGGATGGTCAAAATAAATGATGGAATATGACTCTACCATTAAAAATTATGTTTTGAGGCTGGATGCGGTGGCTCAGCCTGTCATCCCAGCACTTTGGGAGGCTGAGGCGAGAGGATTGCCTGAGACCGGGGGTTCAAGGCCAGCCTTGGCAAGTTGGTGAGACCTCGTCTCTACAATAAATCAAAAAATAAGCTGGACGTGGTAGCGCACACCTGTGATTCCAGCTACTTAGAAGGCTGAGGCGGAAGGATCACCTAAGCCCAGCAGGTCGAGGCTGTGGTAGCCGTGAGCATGCCACTTTACTCCAGCCTAGGTGACAGAGTGAGACTCCAACTAAAAAAAAAATTTTGTTTTGAAAAAATTTGAATGACTCAGGAGAAAGAGATAGGCTTATGCTATCATGCTAAATGGAAAAAATCAGTACAGCAGTGCCCATGAATGTAAAATCTAATCATGTAACACACATCCATAGAAAAGTACTAGAAACACACCATATATTAATCTTGACTGTCTCTGCAATGTTCATATTTTTCTTTTTATTTTTCTGTAATTTCCAAATTTTCTAAATGAGATATGTTCTTATTTTTGTAATCATATAATACACATTACAAAAAGATAAGGGTTGGAGCTAAGTTGAGCTCGGCAAAATCAATACTTGAAGTCACAATCCTTATAGGAATTCGGTGGTGGGAATGATTCCAGGGGTGGGTAGCCAGAGGTAGCAGGGACTTGAGCTGGACTTGTAGGAAGGAAAGGACCTAGGCAGTTTGGGTTGAGAGGAAATTCCAGGGTGAGAGAAAGAGGTGAGAGGCACAGAGACAGGGCTGGCCGTTCAATGCATTTGGAGTGCCGTGGCTACTCTGATCAGACTAGAGCAGAGATAAGCCCCAGGGGAGAAGAAGGAGGAATGGCTTGTCTAATGGGTGTTTTATTTTCCTGCCTGTTCATCCTCAGCTAATAACCCCTCATGCCATCAGAGTGCAGACTCCACCTCGACACATTCCCGGCGTCGTGGAGGTGACATTATCTTATAAATCCAAACAGTTCTGCAAAGGAGCCCCGGGAAGGTTCATTTACACAGGTAGGTGAGAGAAGGATTCTGGGGAGGCTGGTGTCTGGTTCTCCTTTACTGTAGTTCCTGCCTCTCTGCTATATAATCATCCTAATGTTTCTAGGTCTTTCTACTAGTTTGGAAAGAGCAGACTGAGTGATAGACATTGAATGAGAGAAGTCTAGTCTCAATTCTAAATTTGTATTCTACTTTAAGGCACTTCTGCATGGTCTGGGAGATGAGCATGACAGCTTATTTTCGGAATACACCTTTACAAATTTAACTTTGGTAGCGCATGCCTGTAATTCCGGTTACTTGGAAGGCTGAGACAGAAGGATCGCTGGAGCCCAGCAGGTCGAGGCTGCGGTGGCCGGGAGCGGCCACTGCACTCCAGTCTGGGAGACAGAGGGAGACTCCAACTCAAAAAAAAAAACAAATGATTAAGATGGTACATTCTTTGGTATGTGTACTTTACCACCGTGTTTAAAAAAATAAAGAAAAAAGAGACCCTGTAAGAGTTTTTAGACTTGATTTGACAAGAAATAAAAAGACATTGAGGATTTCTGTGCAAGGAAGAGTAACTCAAAGGTGTTATCTTAGGAAAAAGGAACGATGTTGATCTAAAAACTGAGTCAGTTGGGGAACAGCCAAAGGCAGGGAGCTCGACAAGGGTGATGTACTTTGAAAGAGAAAATAAGAGGTGTGGAAAAAGAAAGAAAGAAACCAAGAAAATATAGCAAGCATATTACACATTTTTAATAACATTATTTTATATATATTATATTCTCTCATTTGGATTCAGATTCCTGCTCTTGTTAAAGTGTAAATGTCTGGTTAGCCATCAATTAGGAGTAGATGGAAGTCAGTTACTTTTACGTATATTTATTTAAATTTTGTGTGTGAATTTTCTCTCCTGAGAGAAGCACATCTCAGGGGTTATTTCTTGTGGATCTGTGGAAGATTCTATTGCAGCCACAATAAAAAAGTTACTGTTCTAGTTCCCAAAGGGACACAGTCCATTCATTCACTCACACTAGTATTTATTACATGCACAGTTCTAGGCTCAGACATGCAGACGTGAGTGAGGTAAAGTCCCCCATCTTAACAAAGCTTATATGACAGAAGGGGAGACAGGCAACCAAGAAAACAAATATTATTTCAGACAGTGAGAAGTAAGAGGAGAGTGAGGGAGCATTGGTCATGGTGATCAGGGTGGCCTCTCTCAGTAGGGAACTTCAGGACTCTGAGCAGATATTGAATCCCAGGAAGGGGCCAGCTGTGGAAATCTGTCCCCCTTTCCTCCATATCCCTTGATCCTCTTCTCTTGCACCATTCCCATCACCTTCTCTCTGTCCCAGGGACTCCTCAGGGCTGCGTTTTCTGTTTGGTTGACTGGTATTCGCTGAAACAGACTCTAGAAGTCCATGACTCTATGGGGGTGCATCCCAGGCAGAGAACACGGGAAGATGGCAGCCCGAGAAGTGGGAAGGAGCTTGGTGCCATTGGGGAAGAGCGAGAATGCCCATGTGGCTGGAGTACAGTCGGTGGGGCAAAGGGGCATGGGGAACGAGTGGGAGAGGCAGGCAGGGCAAGGGGTTGGGATGGGAAGACATGGAGGGTGACGGGCAATGGAGCCATCGGCATCTGGGCAGGACTGAAAGCCTGGGGCTGGATGAGCTCGCCACGGAAGGAGGTCTAGCTACAAGGTGGAAGAAATCTCAATACGCCACCTCGGGAACACCAGCGTGGCGGGTTCAGGATGGTTTGGGGGGACCTGTGAGGGAGCTGAGAGGGAAGGGTCAGGGTAGGAGGGAACCAGGCCAGGTGAAGAACGGGTCTCATTCCAGGGCGCTTTCCGCATGTAGGGCTTCTGGCATCCTTGGTGTTTCAGGCACCCCCGGACATGGATGATGGAGCTAGCCTATGAGGAGACAGGCGGGTATAAGAGCAAGCACATTGCAACCAGGCTTTAATTCTCTGCAGGAGTAAAGAATGAGCTCAATACTCAGTAGGGCTACGTGTGTCAACTTCCTCTAAAGGCAGAGATTCTTGCCCTTGGCTGCGCTTTAGATAGTCCATGCCCACGTCAGACCCCAGACCAATTAGAGACCCATTAGATACACATCTCTGAAGGTAAGACTCAGGTATCAATGCAATCCAGATATTCACTCAACAAACATGTGCTGAAAATTACACTCAAGTAGCAAAAGCCATAATGGAAGCATGCCTCCAGCAGCTTACAGCTTTTAGATGACAGTAATTAGATTCATTCTCTAAAGAGTAAACAAAAAATAAGACATATAAAAGCAAAAAAGGTTATAGGGGGCGCTGAGCAGGGAGTGATTAATTTTGAAGAATCAGGGCAGACTTCCCAGAGGAGGTAGCAACAGAGTGACATTTTTCAAAGCAAAATAGGAACTTCCCAGACAGAATGGAGGGGGCTGTGGCCTACAGATCTTGGAAACACAGTGCCAAGGAAATTCAAAGAACTTTAGAGATGAAGAGACTTTGAAGATCATCCGGGTCAAAGTCTCTCTTTTGCAGAAGAGAAAATTGAGACCCGGGGAGAAGTGACTCACTTGTAACTGCCCGTTGAATGAAAGGTAGGGTCAGGACAGAGATTCAGGCCTCTGGCCATCCTGCTTAGGGTCTCTGTTCAGCAATTGGTGTCATCCAGTAGCTTTCTTTTCTTGTGTGCTGAGACATTCATGGGGTTTTCACAAAACATGTTTTTATAGAGCATATGTACTGTGTGCAATGTTGTGGTAGGGGCTGGGTCTGTTGGAGACAGGACAAAGCAGTGTCTCCCACCTTCTTAGACATAATGACGTGGTAATGCTCTTGGAGTTAGACTGCCTGGATTCACAGCATGGCTTGCCTCTAGTACTGTTCTTAAATCTTGAACAGATGGCTTAACCTCTTTTCCTCATCTGTAAAATGGGCTGCCTGCCTCTCTGAGCCGAGGCGAGGACTAAATGATACAGTGCATGGCAACCGAGGTGGGCTGGTAAAGGTTTAACAGCCAGTTTTCCAGGAAGAAGGGGATTAGAAAAAAATAAAAAGAGCATGAGTTTGTAGCATTTACTGATTTCCGTGGTGCAAATGACTCCCTCCGTGACTAATTTTAAGCTACCCATGTAACATCAACTGGCTCACAGAGTTCCTGAAAATTTAACGCTTACACGCTGATAAAGCCAGATATAGCACAAGTCTGCATGGAAAATACCTGGGATAGAGAGTGGAGAAAATGACCCTTATCTTATTCTTCAAAAAGTATTTATTATAAATATTATTATTATCAGTGTTGTTGTCTTGAAGTCTGAGTTGACGGGGGGAAGGATCACCTGAGACCAGAAGGTCGAGACCGCCATGAGCCGTGATTATGCCACTGCACTCCAGGCGGGGTGACAGAGACCCTGACTCAAATAAAAAATTTTTTAAATATAAAAATGAAAAATAAATTTTCACACGTCAAGATGTCAGGCATTAAATCAGAAGGGAAAGGACAAACTGGGAATGCATTTACTCTGTATGACACATCAGCCCACGTATAAATAGATTCTGGAAACTACAAAAGGTGGGAGGGCAAGATGACGGTGCAGATTGAAAAAATTACCTATCGGGTATAGTGTTCACTATTTCAGTGACAGGTTCACTAAAAGCCCAGACTTCACCACTTCGCAATATATGCGTGTAAGAAATCTGTACTTCTATTAAAAAAAAGTTTTTTTCTGAGTTGCAGTCTCACTTGTCGCCCAGGCTGGAGTGCAGTGGCACACTCACGGCCATCCCAGCATCGACCCACTGGGCTCAGGCGATCCTTTTGCCTCAGCCTTCCAAGGAGCCAGAACTACAGGCGTGGGCTACCACGCCTGGCTAAGTTTTGATTTTATTGAACAAGGAATTGCACATGTGATAAGTGCTGAAAAGGAGCTATCTAGGATGTTGGGGCTCTATGCCGAGGGAATCAAACCTTCTCAAACTGAGGTGATGGGGAGGACTTAGGATAGACAGAGGAAACAGTATGCAAAGGCCCTGGGGTGGGAAAGAGCAGGGGATGTATTTTATGGCCCCTATGAACAGGGCAGAAAGAAGAGGCTGGCTTCAAGCTGGAAGGGAGGGCAGGGGCCAGGTCACATCAAGGCCTGTTTTTTCAGCTCTTCCCCAGGTGCCATAGGGAGCTATGGGACTACTGCCATGGTCAGATTGGCCTTTTGAAGAGTTGTTCTGGCCGCAGGGCCAGAGAATGACTTGGAAGCCAGAGTGGATGCAGGGAGGTCAGTTGGAGGCCAGTGTGGTGGCCCAGGCTAGCAATCAAGGCAGCTTGGGCAAGAGTGCTGGTGGTGAGGACAGGCAGAAGTGGATGAAATTTAGGAGGCAGCATTGACGGGACTTGATGATTGATTGGATGGGGTGAAGGTTGGCGAGGGGAGGGGAAGGGATGACTCTCAGGTTTCAGAGTTGAAACATTGGGTGGGTATAGTTTAGAAAGTGATTTTTTTTCAAAGGTATAACGTACTAAGGGAGTTCAGAGGAAGGACAAAATACTTCCAGCTGGCGGGAAGGTGGGAAGATTTAATATTGTAAAGATGTCAATTAATGAATACACTTAGCACAGTGCCAATCAAAATACCAACAAAATGTTTAGGGAAACTTTACAAAGGTTCACCTGGAAAGAAAGGTGCTAAAATAGGATTCTGAAAAATGAGAGGGGCTTGCCCTACAAGACATTATTTTGAGTTTCAATAATTAAAAGAATATGGGGCTTTGTAGGAACATATAGAAGTGGCATGCCCCAAAAGAAAAAACTTTAAAAACAAACGGATTTTGCACACATTAAGAATTTAAATACTTGAGTATTAGAACAGGTGAAGAATCAGGTCAGGTCAGTGTGGAAAAGATGGAATGATTAGCAAATGTCTTGGGCCGATGAGCTAAGCATTAAAAGAAAAACTTAGATTTTAAATTTTCTGTCATACACTAAGATAGATTCAAATTAAATACTTTTAATTGGCCAGGCTCGGAGGCTC